TGGTGGGCCACAGATCAAATAAGGGCTGGACCTCCACAGGGGTGAGGTGGAGCAGTGACTTGGAGGGGCTGTGGTATGGGGTCCTATGTGTCCAGCCTGAGGTTTCTTATCCAAGGTACTAGTGACAGTTGACCTTGGATGTATCTTAGATGTGGGGCTCTGTGTTGCCTGTTGAGCAGCATTCCACTGAAGCTACCAGATCAGTGGCAGATTCCTGGCTGGGATCATCACAAAGGTCTCAATACATGGTCCACCTTCCTCAGTTGAGAATGTCCACTCTGCAGGAAGATTGTGACTAGTACTGTCAGTTTCCTGAGGTCTTTGGAGAGCCCAGGATACCCAGCATCTGCCCTGGCAGAGATGGGCAGACAGCAGCATCAGGCAGTGAGGGGGCAAGATTTAGACTCCAGCTGCTGGGAGGCCAGGATCAGAATGTGGCTCTGGTGGCCTTGAACTCTTACCCTGTGGCTCTGTGCTCACCCTGCCCAGGACAAGGATGGAATCTGAAGAGGGGCTGAGCAGGCAGAACCTTCTGTTCTCGAGGACCTCATGATGACAGCTGTAAAGCACAGGGTTCAGGGCCTGAGAGGCCAGGTTCAAAGCCAGGCATCATGGGAATTAAGCCTAAAAAGTAACATGTTAAGAATGTTGAGATGGCTCAGTGGTAAGAGATGGCTTTTGCAGAGGACCCAGTTTCAAGTCCCAGCACCCACAGGGCAGCTAACAACCCTCTGTAACTCCAGTTCTATGGATCTGATACCCTCTTCTGACCTTCTCAGGCACTGCACAACATGGGTGCACCTACATGCAAGCAATATACTCATACACATAAAATAAAAATAATAAATTTAATTTTTTTTAAAAAAAATGTCAAGCACAGGGACTGGCTGTCTCAAGTGACTGATCACCTTAAACAAGTCACTCAGCCTCTAGTAAATAGCTGTGAACACAGCCCAGCTTAGACACCATGATATTTTTTTTCAAAAGGGTTGAAAGCTCAGGATCCACATTGGTAAGAAGGGGACATCCTGCCGCTCCCATCCCAAGGCTGTAGAAAGGGCTAATGCGATGTTATGGGTCACTTAGCACTGTACTGATGCACTCTGGGTAAACATTGGTTGATTGAATGATTTAATGAATGAATGAATGAGTGAATGAATGGCTTCTCCCACAGCAGTCTTCCCTGAGTCTTCACGCTCCACTTGTGCCGATCTTTGGATATTCTCCAACTTTCTCATATAAGACACGCTGATTTCTCAGTGGGAGGAAACAAGCGATTCATCTCTATGTCACCAGAGTTTAGCATCAGGTCTATGGATAATGTGGGGGGGGACGGGTTGTTGTTGTTTCTTACAACAGTTTTCCTTCCTCAAGGGGCAGTGCCTATGCATTCTTCCTCTTTCTATAGCCATAGCCCCATACAGTGATTGCCTCTGAGTGGTGATTCCTTAATGTTTATCGAATGAATAAATGCATTAATGAATGTATAAAAGCAATTGAAGAAAGGCCACCCATAATGCTGGCTCCCTCAGAATTTGTTGTAGGGCCCAATCCTGCATGTCTGTGTAGGAGGAGCAAGACTGCCTCGAACAGAGAAGGGGAGGGCCTCGGGTGCAGGCTGAGGTGGCCGGTGACAGATACAAGGAAGAAGGTCTCAAAGAAGTTTCCCACCCTGCTATCTGCAGAAGACCATCTCTGGAAACACTGCAGCAGCCCAGCCCATCCTCCCTGGGTAGTCAGGACAGTCTGCATGACTCTCCCCTCCGCTCCCCTATGATCCCCCACAATCCCCCATCCCCCGAGGCCAGCAGCAGACACAGGGTAGCTTCCTCCTTCCTCAGTTGTATGGGTGGGAGCTCAGCAGGGCTCCCCCAGACATGAGGGGTGGTGTATTTTGTTAGGATGGCCACGGGTGGGGAGTCAGGAAGCTAGGCTATGGTCACATCCTCACCCCACTCATGCCCTTAGGTGTCACCAACCTCTTGGGACTGTCTGTCTCCATCTAAAGCAGAGTTGATGGTTCTTTGAGGTGACTCTGTCCTTTGACTGAGTGACCAGAAAGATGGGTCAATTGTGAGCCACGTGACTGAGCATGGCTGTGTAACATGATAGCTTCTAGACTGTGCAAAATTGTCATCTGATCATCTACTGTTCACTGAACACAGCACTCAGTGAGGCATCTGCTGTGAAATCCAGGAGTCCCCGCTGCAGGCCTGTGAGATGAGAAGTGGGAAGGCAACAGCTGGATTCCCTCACTGTCTTCCAGAATGATCGACAAGAACGATAGCAATCCTACTCATAGAGAAGTGTTTGTGATGGACAAAGCCTTGTTTATCGACTCTCTGGATCTATTCGTGTCAGTTCTCTCCTTCTACCGTATGGGGTATGGGTCGAGGGAGTCAAACTCAGGTCGTTAGACTTGGCAGCAAGCGCCTTTACCCACTGAGCCATCTCGTCATCCCCATCTGGACTAGTTACTTTTCTCAATGCTGTGGGAAAATACCTGACAAAAGCAACTTAAGGAAGGAAAAGTTTATTTTGGCTCACATTGTGAGGTCACTGTCATCATGGTGGGGAAGGCATGGCTGAGGAACTTGAGGTGACAGGTCGTGTTATGTCTGCAGCCAGGAAGCAGAGAGACTAATGCTGGTGGGTCACCTTGCTTTGTCTTTTTTAAAAAACTATTTTTGTTGTTTTAAATTATGTGTGTGGGAGTGGTGGTGTGCCCATGAGGACAGGTGCCCCTGGAGGTCAGAGGCATCAGATCTCCTGGAACTGGAGTTACAGGTTTTGAGCCACCTGATGTGGATGCTGGGAACTGAACTCTGGTTCTCTGGAAGAGCAGTAAGTTCCCTTAACAGCTGAGCCATCTCTCTAATCTCTCGAGTTCTCTGATTTATCCAGTTCAGAATTGCACCCTAGAGAATTGCACTGCCCTCATTTAAGATGGATCTTTCCCTCCTCGTAACCCAATCTAGAAACTTCCTGGAAGACAAGCCCAGAGGTTTGTCTCCTAGGTGATTCTAGAGCCTGTCAAGTTGACAAATTGGTATTAACCATCACGCCATCCTATGGTACAGCGTCCACCTAGGGACTCCCTTCCCACTGAAGTGGCAGGTTGGGAGAGCTTAACAAAGCCTGCTTCCCCTTCAGAGCTGTAGAGAGTAGTCACGCAGAGCTGCAAACAGCTTTGCAGGAGGGTAGCCTCATTCTGAGGGGCACAGAGAGGAGCACTACAAAGATAGGTTGGAAGCACTCCTGGTTACAAACCAGGCTTGTCACTCAACCTTTTCCTGCCTCAGTTGTTTCATTTGAAAATTGGGGGCAATGAAATCTACTTTGTGATGGAAAACACAGACTAGCACCTAACCCTTAGGAAAGACTTAGAGATAGGTTCAAGGACCACATGGTGGTGTTACAAAAGTCCTCTAGGGTTGCGGGGGACTTTACATCCCTCTGGCTGCACCCAGAGAATTGCCTTTTCGGTACCTGGCTGAGTGCCAGTTCCTACTTGAACAACCTGTGCAGCCGAGATCGCTGCCAACAGGGAGGACCACCACCAGAGCTTTGGTGTGTGTCATTGGGGACAACCCCAGCCTTGCCGCACTGGGAGCCAGGGCCCTGTCAGACCTTGTAGGCTCAGCACAGCTGCCTTCCATGTGGCCAAATTATCCAAAAATTACCAGATGCTGAATTGTGTTCTTTCTTTTCATGAAGATTTGTCCCCATCAAGGAGGCAAAGACTGCCCTGGGCTGGCCCTCTGTTGGGAGATAGCTGCAGGTCCTAGATGCCATTCCCCTGCCCCTCAGCCTCCCAGATGCCTCCTCCTCTGCTTCCCCCAGCCTGTTCTGGAACCCTGCCATGTGGCCTGGGGCTTCCCAGTCAGCCACAACACCTCCTGACATTTTGTTGTTGTTGTTTTTAATTGAAAACATTTTGCTCACCCGAACATGATGGCTCGACAGAGGTCAGCGTGAGATGGGCTGTTTCCTTCTGGATGGGGACCAGGAGGCAGAATGATACTGGCAGATGAGGGAGGGGAGAAGGAAGTGGCTTTGGGGCTGTGAGGATCCAGGGAAGAATCAGGCGGCCTTGTTGGCTAAGCATGAAAGGCACACAGAAGTAGCTCCTGGGCTGACATGGTAAAGTCAGCAGGGGCTAGGGGGACACACAGGCCCAGCTGAGACCACAGGAGCCATGGGAGGCTCTGCAGCTCCCATACTGCAGAAATGCAGTGTGAGTCTCCATCATGTCACTACCTTCCTTTTTTACCCTCTCCTCCCCACCCTCGCAGTGCTTGAATTTGTAATTCTTGGACAGTAATGAGATAGGGCTGCTGCCGAAGTCCAGTGCAGGAGGAGGGAAAGTGGATGTGGGGAGGAAGGGAAGGAGGGAGTCTGTGGAAAGAGAGGGCTGGGCCAGAGGCCCAGAGGTGGGTGTCAGGAAAGCAGCAGTAGGCGGCAGACCCAGGAGGGCAAGACGCCTGACTCAGTGCCTAACAGAAACCAGGCCAGGCTGATAGACATCAGGCGGGGAGGGGAGGGAGGGAGAGGCCCCTGCCTTGTTGCCTCTGCCAGTTTTCCATTGCATGTCCTGGGAAAGCCTGCAGGGGCGGCAAGCATGCTAAGGGACTGATCTCTCCAGGGTCCACTGTGGCCTCTCTGTACCCACATTAAGTGCCACCATGGAGCACAGGTGTAGGCAGGTCCCCAAGAGTGCATCTTGACAGGCAGGAAGCTGAGGGTTGGGAACCATATTCCCTCTCAGGGCTGAGTCTGGGGTCCAGACCCCTGCATTTCTCATCCAATAATAAAAATATGGAGATGAAATAAAGGGGAAATGGCTTACACTGGCGAGTAAGCCAGGAAAAGATGAACTTCAAAGACCAGATGGAAACCCCTTCGCCAAAGGAGAATTCTTGGATGCTGTTTCTAAGGTGACCTCCTCACCACCACCTCTGGCAGCAGCAGCACTGACAGCCCTTTTCTCTCTCTTTCAGGACCTCCTGTAAGTACCTGCTGCAGCTGGTCTCCCTGTGCACATCTCAAAGGCCTGTGTCATCTATGGTAACAGGGCCCTGGGTGGAGCGCTGACTGCCAGCCCCCTGCTGTCTTCCAGAAGGGGGTCCCTCCCCATGTCCCACAGGGACAGAGGCCACTGTTTGCTTTATAAATGCCTCTGTGCCCCGACAGGACAAGACAATGACCGCCCCAGGCCTTTGTTTCATTTTTGAAGGCTGGCTTACCCGATTGTTGGACTGGCTCTTTTGTCCCCCCACAAAAAGCAATCAAAGAAGTGGCAGATACTAGAAGAAGGACCAATCACTCCTGCTCGGTTATGGCCCCAATATCTCTTCCCCACGCAGAAAGCAGGTCAGGGTGCAGCATCCACACCCCTGAGTGCAGAGTTCCATTCTGGCCAGGCTCCTCAGGGCAGGTGGGGCTGATGGCAGCAATGAGGATAGAAGCAGCATGTCCCTCTCTCTTCCCAGGCTTCAGTCCCAGGGTGGGCAGGGAGCTGGGCCATTTCCAAAGAGCTCAGGGAGCTGCCTCTCTGAGGTAAAAGACCCAAAAGCAGGAGCCATCCTCCTTGAGGGACGGCATTCAGTATCACCACAAAAGACCTGAAGCCACCGGGGGAGCCAGGGACCTGCACTGAGAGCACCAGGCCACCTCACATCAGATCTTTCTCCGGGTTACTGAAATCCACCCCGCCAGCTTCCCTCCTGCCTCTCCCTCCTGAGTTGACTTTCTTATCATCTCTACTTTTGAGAGCAGTGCACTTGATTCTTAAAGAGACCGTTACTTAATATTCCTTGGGTACCCCAAAGTCCCTGAAACCCGCCCCCCCAAGAATCGTGTTGCTGTTCAGGCTGGCAGAAGACAGAAAGAGGAACAGCCTGTGGCTCCTTGAAAGGAGGGTGGATTAGCATAGAAAGTTTGGGGCTTCAGATGGCCATTCCTGTTACCCATCTTCCAAAATAAACGGCCATCAGGAACTATAGCAGAAGCTGGGTATGTGGCTTATTTGGTAGCGTGCTTGCCTAATATGCATGGAGCCCTTGGGTTCTATCCCCAGCACAGCAGAAACCAGGCATGATGGCACATACTTGCAATCCCAGCACTTGGGAGGTAGGCAGGAGGATCAAAAGTTCAAGGTCATTTTTGGTTTCATGATAAGTTCAAGGCCAGTCTGGGCTACATGAAACCTTATGTTTTTAAAAAAGAAGTATGGCAGGCTACCTGCTGGAATGAGACCTATATGTCCCTTCTTATTTATTTATTTATTTATTTATTTATTTATTTATTTAATTTATTATTTATTAATGAAGGCAAGAGTCCACACCTGCCCCATCTAGAGGCTCACCTCAGCTGTGGCACCAGCTCCGTGTTCCTCAACAGAAATTTAGCACCCTAAGGATTGTGTCAGTCTGCCTGGCATGTTGCTCCCAGCCAGAGTGGGCACTGCCACTCCTGGAGTTTGCAGATGGGCAAGGGAAGAGGGGTATGAGGCCCTGCTCACAGTCTCCACCCATGTGAGTTATACAGCCAGGGCAAGGCACAGGTAGCCTTATGTAGAAGAGGGGTCCTGGGTCTGCCCAGCACTGGCTAAGATCCAAAGGCAGGAGGAGGAGGAGGGATGGGAAATGAGCCAGAGTGGGAATGGCTCCTCTCAGCTCTATTCTCACCACTTCTTGGAAGAGAAGAACATTTTGGCCAGAGGCAAGGGCTGGTGCCTGTCTGCTGCCCTCTGGGACGTCTCTCGGGCTAGCTCTGTCCTCCAATTAGAAGACCCAGGTTCCTGTGGGCACAAGGTTGGCATTCACCATGAAGGATGCATTGATCAAGAACCAGCAAAGGGTAGCAAATTGGCTGCCCCCACTGCCTCCACCCTAGTGTCTAAGACAGACATCAATTTAAGACTAATCAATTTAACATAAGTCTTCAGCCAGTAATTGCCAATCCACTAGACCTGCTGTTCCATCCAACAAGGCACCTTTTCTTTCCCTCCCTCCCTCTCCCCTTTCCCCTCTCCCCTCCCTCCCTCTCTCTCCCTCTTCCTCCCTCCCCCCTCCCCCTTCCTCCCCCCTCGCTTCCCCCCTCTCT